GAGAGAGCTAGAAATTTAGTTGATTGAAAGACAGTTAGAAGCGTGCTTTGTGCTCTATCTATTGAGCCAGAGATTTGTCACAGAGCTCTGCTGAGAATGTTGCCCTGATTGCGAGGGGAGAGAGAAAGAGAGAGAGAGCACTGATTTAGCAGCTGTCAATCAAGAGACAACAAAGCCTCTTTCTGCAGAGAAGTGTGAGAGGAAAAAAAACGCAGCAGCTACTTAACTATGCACAAAAGCCAAATACGAAAGTTCTGCGATGTAATTGACTATGTGAAAGGCAAAAGAAAACAACAAAAATGTGATGAAAGGATTTTCCTGATGAAAATTTCTCAGCACATTTAGCTTTAGTATTCAAATTCCAAAGTAGTTCAAGTATTTCACTCCAATTGATCAAAAGTCATCTAGTAAATCGATACAAAAACAGACTTCATCCAAGCGGGGCTCCATCGAAATTCCAAATTGTTGCAATCCTTGGACTCGGGATTTCGCAGACTAAGGCAGACCAGCACAACAAGGGAACACTGCAACAGTTGATAAGAATATATCATATGTCATCCTATCAGCAGCACACATCTTCCATAACCACATCCACGCCCATCAATTATCTGTCCAAGGATGCCGCCGTTGGCTACTGCATGGACTATATGGTCAGAAGGAATCGTATCTTGGCTGCCAAGCAACAACAACAACAACAGCAGCAGCAGGCAGAGCAGGCGACTAGCGATGCATCGTCGGAGAGCAGCAGCTGCTTCGAGCTGCTGCCCGTCAATCTGGACGACGTAATCGCACGGCTGACCGAGTCGGGATCGAGTTTGGCGGGCAGCGGACATGTGTCGCTGGAGGAGCACGAGATCAGCGAGATTTGTGCCCAGGCGCGCGAGGTGCTGCTCAAGGAGCCGATGCTGCTCAAGCTGCGCGCCCCCATCAATATCCTGGGCGACATACACGGCCAGTTCCACAATCTGCTCAAGTACTTCAAGATGACGGGCTATCCGCCGGACACGAGCTATCTGTTCCTCGGCGACTATGTGGACCGGGGCAAGCAGTCCGTGGAGACGCTGACTCTGCTGCTGGCATTGAAGATCCGCTATCCGGACAGCATCTACCTGCTGCGCGGCAACCACGAAAGCGCCAGCCTGAACCGCATCTACGGCTTCTACGACGAGTGCAAGCGACGCTACAACAGCAAGCTGTGGCGCTGCTTCGTCGACTGCTACAGCTGCATGCCGGTCGCGGCGATCGTCGAGGACAACATCTTTTGCTGTCACGGCGGACTGAGCCCGAGCCTGGCCAGCATGGATCAGATACGCTTGATCCAGCGACCGTGCGAGATACCCGAACAGGGGCTACTCTGCGATCTGGTGTGGTCCGATCCGGATGCCCGCACCATTGGCTGGGGCCTCAACAATCGGGGCGTCAGCTACACCTTTGGCCCCGACATAGTTAGCTCGTTTCTGGAGCGGCACGGCTTCAGCCTAATCTGTCGCGCCCATCAGGTGGTCGAGGATGGCTACGAGTTCTTCGCCAACCGCCAGCTCCTCACCATCTTCTCGGCGCCCAACTATTGCGGCGAATTCGACAATGCCGGCACCATGATGTGCGTCGATCAGAATCTACTGTGCACCTTCCGCATGCAGAAGCCGATGTCCAGTAGCAAACGTTATTCCCATACGGCGCATAGTAATTTCTTCAAGCCCCTCCATTCAACGTAATACGCATATTACGTATATACATTGAATATCGTTATGTCAACTGTATTTCAGACAACAACAAAAACATTTGAATCTACTAGTCAAGGAATTCATTTGTTTACTCGTTCTTATGCAATTCCGAATACCAAATCGAAAAGTTTAGTATTGTACAGTGTTGTGTAATGGCGAAAATCACTAACATGCAGATAAAGAATCAAAATGTTATTAAAATGTTATGCTTGAAGCATGGCACGCATTAAACTGAATTGAAAATAAATTTTAGATTTTACAAAATTCATTTTGATTGAATATAGATTTTCGATCAAAATATAGCATTTTTTTTTTTTTTTTTTTTTTTTTTTTAATATTAATAAATGGTATTAAAATAAATCATTTTCTTAGAGTAAATTAATTCCAGCTGGTATTAAATTAATGCTATTTATATAGAGGTATTATAATAAGAAATTATCTTCTAAATAAATGAGAATAACTGAGTCAATCCATACATCTGCTCTACATCTACTCCATATACATATATATTAAAGGCTCTGCCACGCCCCACACAATTTTACTTCACTTTCACTTATTTTAGGGCTTTGGAGTATTCAAACAATTTCAATACAAATTTAATTGCATAATTAGTTTTGTGTAAATTGTTAATGCAAAATGCTATGCAACACTGTTAATTTGTTAATCAGTGTTGCATAATTAGTTTAGTCAATAGCAATTAATGCTGTTTGAGAATGTAAAACTTTTCGCATTGACGCATTATCAACAACAAACATTTGATTAACGAAATGCATGCAATTAATATTTATTTGCTAAATTAGACAAAGACAGAGTGAGACCGGGAAGGGTCGTAATATATATAATAGCAATGAAATTATTTCAACTCCAAACGAGCATCGGATTTAACTATTTCCGGACTAATTGCAATGACTAATGAAACAAAGCAATAAAAAAACTAAGCCAAGCCGAGTTTGAGCTAAAATAATTACTAAAATGGAGAATGGATGTCACCCAAACGAGAACGAGCTGAAAAAGTGGTAAAAAATTGTGTAATATGAAGTGAAAATGTAAATTGCAAAGGGAATAATTTAATGTGCATTCGGTTATGCTAATTTCTGTGAGTGGATGAGCCGACAGATCAGCGATAAGAGCATTGAAATTGTTATTAAAATATATATATTTATATATTTTTATATGTGTGTATGTCGCGCTAAAGTAGAGCAAACGCTGTGGGAGCAATTACAAAATGCAATCACTAATCAGCAC